GAATAGGCAGAGAACAAGCTTAAAGGGCAGCAAAACTACTTTGTATGATACTATCATGGCGGGTACATGTCATTATACAATTGTTCATACCTATGGAATGTACAACACCAAAGTATAGGAGTGAGCACTAAGGTAAACTATGGACTTTGGTTGGTAGCTGTATCAGTGCAGGTTCAACTGTAACAAATATACCACTGTGGTGGAGATGCTGATATTGGAGGAGGCTATGTATGTGGATAAGAAATATATAGAAACTCTCAGTTCTTATTTTTTTCATTTCTAAACATTTTATTTGTGGGATCATCTCCACATTCAATGCTTCCCCTCAAAGGCACATGCAGCTTTATGTGTCTTCTCACTTTCAACTTTGAAAAATGACCTCCACTTTCAGGATGCAGAAACTCTCAATTCTTTCCAATCTTTCTACGAATCCAAAGTTGTTTTAAGAAATAGTCTATTAAAAAATAATAAAGCTCTCTGGGCTCTACGGAATCATGGAAAGGGGGGATGAACCAAGGAATGGAATTTTTAGCAAATTTCTTTGAAGATTAGGTCATGACCAAGTAGGGAGAGACGAGAAAGGGAAAGGGAAATGAGGACAGAAACTCACATTGACTGATAATTCTATGTCCCAACTCAGAGATTGATTCAACAGTTAGAGTAGGTCCCAGAAATATGCATTTAAAAACCCCAGTGATTCTGATAGAGGGCTGCAAGGTACATCCCAAGTCCTACATGGGGGTTCATGGAAGTGGGATAAGGAGCAGGGGCTTGAACCTGAACAGAAGTTAAAATGATACACATTGTTTGTGATACAAGGGGGAAAAAAAGACTATTGTGAAAAAATATATAGGCTTTTTTTTTTTTTTTGGTACTGGGTATTGAACCTAGGAATGATTAACCATTAAGTCATATCCCAGCTCTATTTTTATTTTTTTTTTAATTTGAGAAAAGGGTCTCTCTATATTTTTTTAAAAGATAGCCAAAGGGAATGAAGAAAGGATTTGAACAAAATACAAAACCACTAGAAAAAAAGGATTCCTACTCCCAAGCTCAATAAGCATTCTACAAGAGACAGCCTTGCTATGTGTCTCATGAAGTCATGGAGGTGCACATTCTTCACCAGGATTTCATGGAAAAAGGCAGATGACAAGTTATCTTTGGGGATTCAGTCTCAAAAAATAGACTAGGTGGTAAGGAGCTAACACACCAATTAGCAGAGTTGTAGTTTCTAAATTCTACAATATAAAGCACTTACCAAGAACAGGCCAAAAAAAAAAAAATTGGTGGGTCTTTTGGGGAAAATCAGTTTATCCAATGAACAAGGAAAATAATGGATTTTTAAAGATATAAAAAAATTATCATGCTAGAGACTGATTAGACAGCATCTGTCTTGAGTGTAACTATATAACAGGACACTTCTGAGTAAAAGAGGCTTCTAATAAAAATACCAGCAAAACCATGTTAATAAAGCTTCCCTGAGTGTTAATAAACTTAACAATAATCATGGGAATGAATTACAATGTTCTACAGAGAAGCTGGTCTTAATCACAAGGTCAGAAAGCACAGATGGTGCTAATACAGTTTCTTTCTTGCTCCACTCATATACTTGGTGTGAAAATAGCCAGGAACACTTTTATAATTACACAGCACAGCAGTAATTAATATTGATCTTGGAACTTACAAAAGATCAACATTAATTTGTAGAACACATTGGATTCAGTCTAGTCTTTCTCTGGAATTCACTCAGTGGGCAGTTTCACCAGGCCCCTTACCACCAGGACAACAGGCTCAAACCTGGGACAAATTGTCAGAATACAAAAAAAACAAAAAAGTTTTTTTGTTTTAAGATGGAGCACACTTCTGGGGGCTGGAGTTGTGGCTCAGTGGTGGAGTGCTTGACTAGCACATGTGAGGTCCTAGGTTCAATCCTCAGCACCACATAAAAAGATAAACAAATAAAATAAAGGTATTGAGTCCATCTACAACCCCCAGACCCCCCGCAAAAAAAGAGTATATTTTTTATGGATTTTGAATCCCTAGTAAAATGGTGCCTTGTTAATGAAAAAAAAGCATCTTTTCAGTGAGTTTTTGACTTAAAAGTGTTTGTTTTTATTTTCTATTTTAACAAATATCTATTGTACGCCATGTCCTAAACAACAGATAAAGTGAGGAGAGATGGGACAAATGATGATCAGCCCAATTTTAAATATTGTGTAGTCATTTGTAATTACTGAGATTAGTGGTTCACAAACCTGACTGCACATTTGAATTACTAGGGGAATTTTTAAAAATGCTACTATATGCTTTATCACATAGAAACTTATATAAAATGTTCAGAGATTTAAAAATGGCCTAAAATGGAAATAATCTAAATGATTATAAACTGATGAATGTTAAAAATAAGATGTGGTATGAACACAGAATGAATCAATATAAAGGAATGAAATACTTGTGCTACATGGATGAACATTGAAAACACTATTCTAAGTCAAAGAATTCAAACACAAAAGACCACACATTGTACAATTCCCTTTGTATGAAATGTTCAAAACTGGCAAATCTATAGAGACAAAATGCAGGTTAGTGGTTGTTTAGGACCAGGGATCTTGGGGATGAATGAAAAGTGATTGCTAATCACAGGATTTCTTTTCCAGGGTGATTCTCAAACATTCGCAAATTGATTCACAGTTGTACAGCTTTGTGAATAAAGGAAAATCCAATTAATTGTATACACTAAATGAGTGAATTGTACAGTATGCAAGTTAATGCCAATAAAGCTGTTCAGAAATACTAAGCTTGAGGACTGGGGTTGTGGCTCAATGGTAGAGCACCTACCTAGCACATGTGAGACACTGGTTTGATTCTCAGCACCATATATAAATAAATAAAGGTCCAATGACAAGTAAAAAAAAAAAAATGTATTAAAAAAAAAAAAAGAAATACCAAGCTTGGGTCTAGCCTCCCTTGGTTCAGGTAGTAACTTGGAATTATGATTTTTTAAAAATATTGTTTTTAGTTGTAACTGGACACAATACCTTTATTTTATTTATTTTTATGTGGTGCTGAGGATCAAACCCAGGGCCTCACATGTGCTAGGCAAGTGCTCTACCGTTAAGCCACAACCCCAGCCCTGAAATCATGATTTTAATGCTTCGCACAGGGAACCACTGAGATAGAATGGATAACTCAAATGCTTAGGGCTTTACGTTTTTTCTTTAAAAATTTTATAATGAACAGTTTTCATTTTCCTTTCCTTTCTCTTTTTAAAATTATGAATTATAGTCCTATGGATTTAAAAATATTCTTGTAGTAGTTATTAGTAGCTATAAGTGCTATGGTTTGGATCTGAAGTATCCCCCAAGATTCATGTGTTGAAAGCTTGTTCCCCAATAGCTATGTTCAGAGGTAGAGCTCTGGGGAAGTGACTGGCTCATGAGGGCTCTGGCTTCATTGGTGGATTAATTCACTGATGGTATTAATAATTGGATGGCATATGGGGGAGGTAGTGGAAGTGTTAGGAGGTGGGGCCTTGCTGTCAGTAGGTCTCAGAGGGGCATGCCCTAGGAGGGTATTTCTTGTGTAGAACACCTTCGCCTGTTTCCTGTCTACCAAGAGCTGAGCAGTTTTCCTCCACTATAACCTTCTGCCACTGTGTTCTGCTTCACCTCAGGCCCAAAGCAAAGAAGTCAGCCAACTGTGGATGGAAACCTTTGGACCTCCTGTGTGCTAAAATAAAATTAATTTCCCACCTTTAAGTTTTTCCTCATGCATCTGTCACAGCTACAAAAAGCTAATGCAATGAAAATATTTTAAAAACAGTAAGCACAGATAGCGTTGATGAGAGATGAAACGGCAGGAAATCAAAGTTGAAACTGGTTCAAAATGTTTGACTTTTCCTTTTTCCCTTTGCTCTTCTGTCTCCCTCTCTTTCTCGTGGTTATGAAGATTGAACCTAGAGCCATGTGTATGCTCTACCACTATAGCCCCAGCCTTGACCTTTTTCTTTTCTGATTTTGGGGTTACTGAACAGACGGGTCTATGTTTAGGTTTTTGAGGATCTGGTGGTTGTAACTGTAGAATGATCAGTTTTTAACTTGTTATTTAGTGGCTAAAAAGAGCCAAGTCACTGAATATATCGTTTCCAATTTACTTTCCTTTGTACACTAGCCATCAGCCTCAGTCTGAAATATTGAGGACACTTAGCTTCCAGGCTCAATGCTCCTACCCGAGCCTGAGGGAATATGACTCCGGGCAATATACTCCAACCCCACTCCCACGAATGTTCGTTATAGCCAACGTTAGAACTGCTGCTCTGAAGTCGGGTATCTTGAACACAGACTCAATGGACTGCAGCTTTCCTGTGCATCTCCATGGCATGTGTGTAGTCTTTATGACAGGGATTCAGTGTAATCTTCAGTAACTGGTGTGGAGCAGGGCCTGATCTACTTCGAGCTGGCAGGCTGATATCCTGCTTCATGCTGGAAAATCCAGCATGTGAAACCTGCAATGTTTCACCCTGTCAGCTGCCAGACAGTGTGCCCTGCCACTGCTCATGGTATCCCTGTCTGTTTGAATGCTGATGCTGGCCTGAACCCTGGCCCAGTCAGAGGCAGAGTTGTCCTCAAATGTCTACTTGGACATTACTAGCGACCGATTGTCCCTGCATGTCCCTCTGGCATGTGCATGATATGGCTGGATTCAACTCTTTTTCTCTTTGGCCTGACAGTAAAGTTACAACAGTATCTTTCAAATCTTGTTAGAAATAATGTAAAACATTCACAGTCCTATCAAGTATTGAAATCATCTTGTTCTTTTTAAAATTTGAAGAGTACATTTTAACCTGACTCAACTTTGAGAAATTTTTGATAATTTCACTACACATTAGTATTTCTGGAGGGGTGGAATCAACCAAGGAACAGCATTCCCTGACTCCAAAAGGTTGGGAATTGGAGAGTTAAAGTGAGAGTGACTAAAAAGAGGCAACAAAAACACTCTTGTCAGCTTATAGACACTGTATTGACTCTTGAGTCTGGGGTCTCTGTTAGGGTCATTGTCATTAACAATCTAGAAAGGGTTAAAGGTATGCTCATCAAATGTGGGGAAGAAATTTAACTGAGCAGGAATAACAAATGGGTGGGAAATAGTATGGAGAGCCTTTACACGAATTACATATTTAGAAACCAAAAGAACACACGGATATGAGAAGCCAGATTGTAAGTGCTGAAAAAAACCCAGGGACATAGTTGAGCATGTGTCACCCTAATCTGGCAGGGAGGGAGTGTTACTGTGAATCAAGAAAGCTATACAATTCAACACTAAGGAGCTCACATGAGTGTTATATCGGTTGACCGAACAATAATAAGCAACATAAGCAAGTTCTGTTCTAAATATTGCTTTGTTATGAGCAGCAACTGTGGTTTCACAGTTAAATCTAAAAAATGACAACTGAACAATGTCTGAATTCAACAGGATATACCATAATCTATAGCAAGTATTCATTAAACATTTATTACCTGAATGAATGACAAAATAATTTCATCCAACAATCTTAAGACTAACTACAATGTTTAACTCTTTACATCTCATATGTTCTTATTCTTTCTGTACTCTGTGCACTGATTTCTAAAAGCTTAGAAGTTCTATTTCTTATCAAATCTGCTTATGTTCATGGTGAATAAACTGGTGGCATTATAAAATTATTTTAGTTCAAAAAGAAAGGTAGATTTCTGCCAGATTTACCCTGTTGCCAGTTATCTGAAATGAATCAAGTAGAAATATGAATTAAAATTTTGTATCACTCTCCAAATGTTCATGTATTCAGTTCTACCACTGTAGACTTTATTTGGAAGATTTTGACTTTATGTGAAACTTCAGTGTTCAGGGAATTTTCTAATTTTCATACGGAAGCCTTAATATTCAAAAGTGTTTATCCTTCAAAGATGCAGTAGGTCAGAAACCTGAAAAACACTTTCTTCACAAGAGGAAGAAGTCTGCTTCCCAAGGAATATGCCATGGTCATGATTCTATGCTCACATGTCACACAAAGATGGGCTGTTACTGGAAAGTTATTTTGTACGGTTTGTATTTTTAATTCTCCTATTTTTTTTTCTTTGTTCAAAAAGTAGTCTTCATTTCAATCAGGAAGTCTGTATTTCTTCCATTTCAAACTCGTCTGTCCACTGTTGAAGGTCTTTTGCATTATGGGTCGTCCATAATTTTGCAAAATACTTTAGCCTTTTCCTGGAGAAAAAAAACAACATACTTAATTAAGAAATGAAATTGTCGGGGACAATACATCTCATGGAAAGCTATGAAAAACCTATGCCATTATAATACCAAGCAGGCTCTATGTTAGGAAACTGTGTCAGCACCAACCTTGCAGAGCTGCTGCTGTAATAAGGAATTGAAGTTATAGATCACCACTGCCTCCATGTGACCTTCTACAATTCCTCCCTGCAGAGAGGGGACAGTGCAACTTCCTCCCCTCTTAACTCTGCCAGAGGGGGACTGTGTGTATGTGTGTGTGTGTGTGTGCCTATCTGTACCTGACAGCAAAAGCACTCCTGCTGAGAGTTCCAAAAGTGGAATTGATTTAATAAAATAAAGCTGGCTAGTGAAAGAGGAAAATGTCAGCATTACTGAGACTTAAATTTTTCCTGCAGAATAGCAACCCAGTTAAGTAAGTATTCAGGGTCTGGAGCTGGAGAACCTGTGTTCCAATCACTGCCCCACCTCCAATTAGGTGTGTGAACCTGGGTCAATTCTTTCCCTCAATTGGCCTCAATTCTCTAAACTACCCAACTCACAAGGTTGTCACAGGGTTTAAGTGAGTTAATGTACATAAAGCAATAAGAACAGTAATGAGTGAGTGTCTAGGCTGCTACAAATGACTGTTTACACTTGTCTCTGCACACAGTAACCATTCAATATATATTAACTACTGTAAAAAATCCACAGGAAGGCACAAAATTTCAGCAAAAAGGCAAGACAAATAGTGTCCAGATAAATTATCTGATTTATTTCAATGCAACCTCTTTCAATAATTCTCTGATCTTATCAAGATAACTTTATAAATGCCTCACACTAGTCAGAAGAGTGAAAATATTTATAAGCAATGTGTGAATTTTCTTGCTTTTGCTTTATAGGCTATGTAGAAAGCAACAAATATAAACTAAATATTGCCAACTTGTACATGTATCCTTTGTAGCACAGCTTTCTTTAGGGAAAAAAACAATAATGACAAAGATGACAAGAAAGGATTTAGAATTTGCAGATGATTAAAGGCTAAGTTTATTTTTAAATTCTCATAGATAAAATCTGCTCTCTGGAAAACTTTTACATTAATTTGCCTTGTAACAGAAAATGATTGAAACTATTGATGCCACTTTGCTTTTGCTCTGGCACTATGGAAATTATCTAGAGAGAGTGTCAACAGAGGAGGCTAAGTGTCATTTGCAGCATTCCAGTATTCTGGACTTGGTCAACACAACCATCACACCATTACAAGGTATGCAGAACCAGGGGAGGGAAATGGAGAGAGAAGCTGATTGCACTGCACAACTCCACTTCAGAACAGAAGTTAGCAACTGTTCTTTAATTTTCAACCAATACTACATATAATAATAGTTCAATACTGACATATGGTAAAGAGTTCCAGAATTAATTAATATGCTTGGAGTGTAACAAAGGGACCACTGGTGGCCAACCAAGACTTTCTATTTGATCAACAATCTTGTCCACTCATGGTCATGTGGCTATCAACCAGAGCAGTATTGTCCTGTCCCCAGCAGATGACACTCTCCAGGCAAAGCAGAGGCACAGGAGCAGGAGGACAGGGAGCTTATGTTGTTTTACAATTTATATTTAGGATACAAAAGGCTATAATATGCTATTTACTAATATGACATTTTCTTAGAACCATTTCCCTTCTGAAGTATAAACAGGTATATATTAAGATTAACTTATATACTGACTACCTACTAGCTGGGTATCAAGGGTGAAAAGGTAGAAAACATTCACATAGCATTTTAGGTGACAGAAGCCAGCTTACAATGAAAAATTTGTCATAAACAATTCCCCAAACAAGTGAAATGTGGATACATGGTGAGTCCATGATCACATAATACTATTATTTTCATTCATATTCTGACAAAATTCTTTATTTTTAAATGTAATCATTGCCTATCTGAATGAAATCTATGAATAAAAGTAGTCCTCTGTGGTTTTAAATATTGAAGTTTCTTTCAGTAACTGTATTAGCAGCTAATACGTTGTCATACATAGAGTTAACTTAATTCTTCAGGGAAATGACTGAAAAACAATGCTGCACCTTAATCAAGAACTGATTGATCAATAAAGACAAACTGAAAATGATAAACATGGACTGAATTCACCTAAGTTTTGCCAAGAACTGTTTTCACTTCACTGTAATTAAATATTTGAGAATCTTTGAAGATGTGCTTAAAAGCAGATCTGATATTAACTTTATAGGATAATCCTTTTCTTTGGGCAACTTGGAAGGTTTCATTATAAACCAAAAACTGCAGCACAAAGATTCTGACCTTTTCACATTTACTAATTCTTCAAGTTCTTTTGACTTATAAGCTGCTTTCTTTAAAATTTCTCCAGGAACATCTGCTAGTTTAGCCACATTCAGTCCATAACTCCTTGCTGCAATTCCTCTGGTTATTTGATAAAGAAAAGTGACAAAATCAGGCACTTGTTCTTCTTCACCTATGGGAAAAAAACAAACCAGAACAAAACAATAGGTGATCAAAATCACACCAGAAAATTGACATATTAGGGGACAAAAGAAGAGATGTAAGTTCTTATAATTTTATTCTATTAAAATTTGCAACCTATACACTCAGAAAAATGAGAAATTATATCCCATCTGATTCAAATGTATGATACGTCAAGATCATTATATGCTCATGTGTAACTAATTAAACAAAAAAACAAACAAAACAAAAAAAAAAAACTTACAATCTGAAAAAGAATCTACTGTTCCTACCATTTACTAGGTACTTTAATCAATTTTACATATCTAGAAAAATGGTAAATAGTGTTTTAAAAAGGCTTTTGCCTTTAAGGCCCTGGGGTTGTGGCTCAGCAGTAGAGCCCTTGCCTAGCTCTACTAGGTGCTGGATTCTATCCTCAGCACCACATAAAAATAAATAAGTAAAATAAAGGTATTGTGTCCAACTACAACTAAAACTTTTTTTAAAAAAATGTTTTTGCATTTAAAATCTTTATTCACTTAAAACAATTTTTAACAATTATTTGTCACAAAATTTTAATTGAACTTCTATATCAAAAAACAATGGTTTGATACATGATACAACATTTCTTTCTCCTTTTAAAACAAAGGAAATATTACATGTTGCATATCCTAAATAATGAGACTGAAAAGTTCTGGTTTATTAAATATTCTGATTGCCCAAGAGTTGTACATACTGAAGTGGAGGCTATTGAGTACTACCTAGATCCCACCTAGGACTGAAGAGTTTATGCCCCAGCTATCATTAGCCAGGAAGATTGTTAGCCTGCAACCCTATCTTTGGGCCTCTTTAGGGGAATGACTGCAGCTGAAGAGAGCTGCTTCACTAAGGGTACACTCCTTTCTTGGGGTAGTGGGCATCCAATAACTGGCTGCTATAGGGATAGGCATGCAGCCTCTAACATGGCCACTAAAGATTCCTGTCTTCTAGTGCTCATGCCCTTGTGTCATTCTCTCCCTTTGAGTGTGAGCTGAACCTACTGACTCACTTCTAACAAACAGAATATGATAAAAAGTGATAGGATGTCACTGTAGAAATTAGGTCGCACAAGACTGTGCCCTCTTTCTTGGCCGCTCTTACTTTCTTGCTTGCTTTGAGGAAAGCCAGCTACTATGCTGTAAGTTGCTCTGTGAAGAAGCTCACATGCAAACTACTCTCATCAGTAGTCAGTGAGGGACTACCAGCAGCCATATGGGTGAGCTTACAAGTAGATTCTGCATTCTGAAGTTTGCCAAAAGCTGTAGGAGGGCTGGGAAGCCATTTACCTCATCAAGGCTTCCAGTGACTGCTGTCCTGAGCTGTACCTTGATGTAGCTTTCTGAAAGACCTCAGAGGTGCTCAGTTAAATTGCCCCTGGATTCTAACCATGAAAATGAAGAGATGATAAATGTGTTTTGTTGTTTTAAGCCACTATATGATTTATTATACACTGTTTTCAAATTATTTCAAACTAATAAAGCTAACTAATGAAGGGTATATAAAGACCTTGCGCTATAACTCCAAGGTGAGGTAATTCCTAAGGACCATCCCAGCCTCCGAGCTCTCTGCTGAGTTTTCTAAAGCCTAAGACCCAACCCTACACAATACTTCTCAGTCCTGCCCTCTGGGTTGATCATGAGGACATTCTCCAATAAAATTCCTGAATGCAAACCTCAGAATCTGATTCCCAGGGAACCCAGTGTGTCACACAAATACATACGCATGAATTTAAAACTTTTAAAGAACTGGGATATAATGAAGTACATACAATATTATGAAGATAAAACTGCACACAGTTTAATCTTTGTTAAACTTAATGCACTTCAGGATTATGCAGCTTTTTAAATAAAATTCAGTATAACTGTACTGTGTGGCAAAAATGTCCAAAATGGACCCAATTTATAATGATTTTGTGACCCTAGCACTGATTATAAGCTTATCAAGAGCTTTTTCTTATTTAATTTGTCAAATGTGTATGCTTTTATTTTTTCATCACTAAAGAGGAAAAAAAAAAAAAAGACTGAACACAACAGTGAAAAAAATACAATGGAATTTTCCTTATCCTCCTCCAAGAACTCGGCAGCAGACAAATAATAGCTTTCTAAGAGTGGCTGCTAGAAGTGGGAGTTAAAAAGAATACTGATGTGCTCAGGAGTACACAGACTCCAACATGTATTACAAACCACTAAAAATAACATTTGCTTCAAATGAAACTTAAGGAACACAAAGAACAGGTGAGGAAGTGGGTGGGGAGAGATTAGGGAAGACACATGTATGCAGAAACCAGTGTCTGCAAACCTGGATGATTGTGTTTTGCTTCAGCAGCAGGCCACCAAAAGAAAGCAAAATGTTTCTTGGTGTAGTCCTTCAAAATTCTGAGTGAAAATGACTCTCAATCTCAAATTCTAGCCCTCGCTGAATTATAAATCAAATATGAGGTATAATGGAGACATTTTAATTTATACAAAGTCTGAAAACCTATTCTATATCTAGACACACACACACACACACACACAGACATGTTATACAATAGCTATAAACCACAGCTAAATTATATAATATATTATACTGTCCTAATGCCTTCCTTCACATACCTCAGCACAAACTAAATCTTGTCATCATATGCTGATCTCCACCACAGTATTAACTACTATAGTTCTCACACCAGGTAAAGAATGTGGCCATTTTTAATCATCCCAGGGACCTCTTTTCATTATGTTTTGCCTCAAGACTCCTTTATTCTCCTTGAGTGGAGGTGTGTGTGTAGGATGGAGGCACAGAGGCAGAGGGAACCACGGGGGAGAGAAGATAAATAAAAACAACTCATTTCTTTATAACCTCACAACAAAAGTTCTTGGTGAGGACTCTACTGATGAGCTATGCCCCTTTCTAAAGTGGATATTTTGAAAACATATTTGGTTCTTTTTAAAATTAATGAATGTAACAATTCAAGTTTCTGCTTATTATAAGAAAATAGCAATATTTATTTTGAAGCCAAACTTCCTTAAAAGTTATTAAAAAGATGTGTGCTGATGATCAAATAATTCCTGAAGACACTTTTAGGGCAGATTCACAAAAATTTAAAGATAGATAAAGTTAGCTGACTTGTCTAAGATTTTATAGGTTGCAATAGACAAAAACACAGGTTTCCTGATGGCTGGTCCATTACTTTATCTACCACATCAACAGAAATAGGGAACATTTTAGAAGCCAGTTAAAAGAAACTTGGGGAAACTTTCCTGATGACTTATGGAAGGACCTCTAACTTAGAAGAAGAATTAGATTAGGACTAACAGGCTATCAGATGAAACATAGATATAGCCAGGAGCAATATCTGGAAGGGAACAATAAATCAACCTTCAAAATTCTGAGTGAAAATAAATTTTAACCTCAAGTTCTAGCCCTAGCTCAATAACAAATCAAATATGAAGGTACAATGAAGACATTTCATTCATGCAGTCTCAAAAATTTTACCTTGTTCAGTTGATGTCAGCAAGCGCTACCTAAAACCTATTCCACCTCTAAAAAAATAAAAACCCTGATATAATATAAGGAATTAGCTCCATGACCACTTAACTCAGGGGATAGTGTCCTCATATCCAGCTCCAAATGTTGATCCTGACTAATCTAGGCAAATCAAAGTCATTTTTGCAATCCTCACTTGTAAGGACTGGCTTAAGAATAGGAAAGACAGAGTGGTTGTACCAATCTGCAGTGCCACCAGCAATGTATGAGTGTACCTTTTTCTCCACATCCTTACCAACACTTATTGTTGCTCGTATTCTTGATAAATGCCATTCTAACTGGTGTGAGATGAAATATTAAGAGTATTTTCATTTGCATTTCTCTAATTACTAGTGAAGTTGAACTTTTTTTTATATATTTGTTGATTGATTGTATATCTTCTGTGACGTTGTCAGTTCAGCTCCTGAGCCCATTTATCAATTGGGTTAATTATTCTTTTGGTGTAGAGTTTTTTAAGTTCTTTATATATCCTGGAAATTAGTGTTCTATCTCATGTGCGTGTTGTAAAGATGTTCTCCTACTCTGTGGGCTCTCTCTTCACGTTGTTGATTGTTTCTTTTGCTGAGAAGAAGCTTTTTAGTTTAAATTCATCCCATTTATTAATTCTTGATTTTATTTCTTGCACTTTAGGAGTCTTGTTAAGGACCTAATCAACATGATAAAAATTTGGGTCTACTTTCTCTTCTATTAGGCGCAGGTCTCTGGTCAAATTCCTAGCATTTTGAGTTGAATTTTGTGCAAGGTGAGAGATGGGGGTTTAATTTCAGTTTGCTACATATGGATTTCCAGTTTCCCTGGCAACATTTATTGAAGAGGCTAACTTTTCACTAACATATGTTTTTGGCACCTCTGTCAAATAAGGGATAACTGTATTTATGTGGGTTTGTCTCTGTGTCTTCTATTCAGTATCACTGGTCTACTTTGGTGCCAATACCATGTTGTTTTTGTTACTATCGCTCTGTAGTATAGTTTAAGGTCTGGTATTGTGATGCCTCCTGCTTCATTTTGCTTGCTCAAGATTGCTTTGGCTATTCTGGATCTCTAATTTCTTAAAATGAATTTCATGATTGCTTTTTCTATTTCTATGAGGAATGTTGTTGGGATATTAATTGGAATTGCATTAAATCTCTATAAGTTTTTTGGTAGTATGGCCATTATGACAATATTAAGTCTGCCTATCCAAAAACATGGGATATATTTCCATCTTCTAAGATCTTCTTCAATTTCTTTCTTTAGTGTTTTGTAGTTTTCATTGTATAGGTCTTTCATCTCTTTTGTTAAATTGATTTCCAAAAATTTTTTTTTGAGGCTATTGTGAATGGGGTTGTTTTCCTAATTTCTCTTCCAGAGGGTTCATCACTGATGTATATAAATGTATTTGATAAAGAAACTGCGTTATATATACACAATGGAATATTACTCAGCATTAAAAGAAAATAAAATGATGGCATTTGCAGGTAATAGATGGTGTTAGAGAATATCATGTTAATTGATTAAGCCAATTCTAAAAAAAACAAAGGCTGAATGTTCTCCCTGATAAGTGGATGCTGATCCATAATGGGGGAAGCGGGCACCATGGGAAAAATGGAGGAACTCTGACTGGGCAAAACAGAGGGAGGGGTGGGAACACGGGGGTAGGAAAAATGATGAAATGAGATGGATATCATTACCCTAGGTACATGTATGACTGCACATATGGTGCAACTCTACATCATATACTACCAGAGAAATGAAAAGCTGTGCTCCATTTGTGTACAATGAACCAAAAGATACTCTGCTGTCATGTACAACTAATTAGAACAAATTAAAAAAAAATAAATGAGGGGCTGGGGTTGTGGCTCAGTGGTAGAATGTTCATCTTGCATATGTGAGGCACTGGATTCCACCCTCAATGCTACATAAAAATAAATAAAATAAAGGTATTATGTCCATCTACAACTAAAAAATATATAAAAAATGAAATATTTTGTGCTATATTGAATGTGACAGTAGAGAAAAAAATAGTTTGTATTTTCATTTACAAGTGCTCAGTGTGGTTATGTTCTTGTTATTAAGTGATGTGCATTGATGCACACTTGTCTGGAAATGAGGTATAATCATGTCTACAACTAACTCTTAGATGGTTCAAATAAGGGGAAGCTTTGACTTCTCTTTCACTCAGAGCTGCTCCCTTCACCTGGTCGTAAAGGTCCCTTTTTCTTTCTTTTTTTTTTACCCTCAATTAAAGCTTTGCATGAATAGTTGTGCAATAAACAAACAAACAAACAATAACAACAAAAGAATAGAAAAGACAGTAGAACAAATCTACCATAATTTTCCTATATATATGAAAATACCCAAATGAAACTCACTGTCATGCTCACCCACAAGAATTGGGTCCTAATTAGAATAAGAGATATCCTATGCTTATATAATTTTATTAAAGTGGATTCTACTATCAAAATAACTAAGAAGAACCAATTAAAAAAAAAAAGAATGAAGATGTATCATGGTGCAGTGGCACTTGCCTATAATCCCAGCAACTCAGGGAGGATGAGAAAGAAGTATTGTAAATTCCAGCCTCAGCAATTTAGGGAGACTCTGCCTCAAAACAAAAAATAAAAAGGCCTACGGGTGTAGCTCAATGGTACAGGGTCCCTGGGTTTAATCTCCAGCACACACACACACACACACACACACACACAAACGACAATGAAGATGTGATTCAATTCTGAAATGGGATGGGACAATTATGAGATAATAAAAGGCAACTCAGAAAAAGTTCCCTCATTTCTAAGAAAGAGTCATAGGAGGGGCTGCTGGTGTAACTCAGTGGCAGAGTGGGTGGTTAGCATGCAAAAGGCCTTGGGCTTAGTTCCTAGCATATCAAATAAATACAACTAAATTAAAATGAAGTAAAATTTAACAATTAAAAAATAAAATAATAAGATAAAATAGAAGAAATGGTAGCTCCTTTTCCTTTGGTGGACATGGTCAATTCTGGATGAGATGCCTAAAAGAGTTGCAACAATCTTGTCACTAGTCTGATGATGGAGTCATCCAGGCAAAGAAGACAGCCTAGAGAACTGCAAAGAGAGGAACAGGGAGGTCCTATGTTCCTCAGAGGATCCTGTAATGTGAGATTACATAGAGTATCATCTTTTGTTTGAGCCACTATAAGTCCACTGTGATGTTCCTTGCAATCAAATGCACAGAAGGGAGGGTTAGAGAACTCCCAGGACAAAGGCAGCCTTAGGACAATAGCTGTGCGGCAGGCCCAGAAAGCAACTTGTTCAAATGAATAGGAGAACAAAGCGCTCCAGCAGGAAGGACTCCAGCAGGAAAAATAGATTCAATTATGTGGGAAAATGTGTAGAGAGACATTTTACAAAGCTATTGGAGAGTAGAAGAAGATTCAGCTACAGACTCAAAGAAAACAACAAAACACATAAATAGAAATGAAGCAATTCTTATCTTTAAGAAAATAGAAGCCTTTAAAAAAAAGAAAATGTACTTTTCTTCCATACTTGGCTCAGCAGTAGACAATATTTCTTCTGCAATAACAGTTAAAACAACATACATGAATGAAATAGAAAAAATGTGGAACGACTATACTGGAGGGGATCAGAGGAAGGGAAGGCTTAGTCCCAACTAACACAATGAGAGTTCCATCAATTATGTGTCAAGCTGATGGATCAAGGGATAGAAAACATGCAAATTATTTAGAAATATGACAGAAATGGAAGAATGAGTTCAAAGGCCTTAGACTTGGGTTGGGGGGGCCATGGAGTGAAGGGACAGAAACTTGTTAGCAGAAGCCTTTACTATCATTTCATTTTAAGAATTATGCTCATGGATAAACTTGTAAATCAATAAAATAAAATGCCAGAACACTTAAGGGGAAGGGATAATGCTCTAGGTTAGCAGTCAGTTCACATCAAATGCTTAGTGGCACTGATTTTGCTTCTTCCCTGCTGGTGAACTTTATTTTATTTGTCTCATGGGTTTTAGCTTATAAGTCTTCTTCTGTCATATTGGATGCAGATTAATAGATCTGAAACTACTTCCATGAGAGAATTTATGATGTGTTTTTCAAGTCTGCCTGGTGGTAAAAGGCAGGAATTGTCTAACATTAAATTTATCTTAGGTCCAGTACTTTCTTTTATTTGGGCCAGTTGCCTGATTTCTTTTTCAGGTTTGTTCTTATTACTTTTCCAAAATAAAATTTGGACTTTGGAGTATCTTGGATAATGGAAAATCCATTATAGTTCCCCAATTTTGCAAAGCACCACAGGCTGACAGCTTAAAAAAACTACTACTAGATAGGAAAAAATATACATATGTTAAAGCCTACTAGATTACTTAAGGAACTTGCATTTATTTCTACTAGCTAATGGTATTCTTTTTCATAAAATGTCTCATTTCTGTGACAATAGCAATAACTGCAAAGTCCAGAAAAAATACTGTAGATCCTCTGCTGGAGAGCTAGCAGAGTGAAAGTAAAGAGGACCTGGAGGTAAAAAACATGGATTCTAGGCTGTTTAGCTCCTACCTATATGGCTGACATGAACAAGCTACTTTACCTGAATGAGATTCAGTTTCCTTATAAAAAAATAAAATACATGTCCAGTATAGGATATAGTCCTTAGTGAGTAATTAATGTTAAATAATAGTTTGAGGAAAATACTAGTTATTTTTGAAGGCAACTAATAATATTCTGCACTCAACTATCAAGGCATCTTTCCTGGGATGGTAAGAATCATGTAAGAATATAAGGAACAAAGAGGAACCTTAAATGTCACCTTCATCTTTAACCATTACATCTGGAAAAAGAGTTGCCACTTCATGAGGAGGATCAGAAAAGAAATCAAAGATAACAAATAAGTAAATACATACTTTGCTTGCCCCAAAGCTCAGAGGAAATGAATTTGGACAAATGCTATTTATAACTGACATTCATAACTTTCATTATTAATAAGCAGTAAGTTCATATTCCTATAAAATCTGAGTTATCAAACATAAAAACCAGTATTATACCTACTGCAGGATTATCTCATACCTGGATCCTGTTGGCTTTCGTCCTCACTGACCAAGAATCCCATGTGGTAATTCCCCACCTGTTGTGCATAACTTTTTTCTAGTTCACAAACTGGTGGATAATGGGTGACAAACAGGGTTAAGGATTTCACCTAGAACAATAAGATATATAGTAAGTGTTATTTTATTTTTAAATTTTACTTTAATTAAAGCTTTTCTTCAATGTTTTTGGAAAAATTTCAAATCTTCATAAAAATTTCAAGAAAATACAATATAGTCTTTATCTAAACAACTAATTGTTAATAGTCTGTCATATTCCCTTCCTTCCTTTCTCCCTAAAGACACACATACACACTTCTTCCTGAACCATTGAGAATTAGTTGCAGACATGATCCCTAAAAACTTACATTTATCTTCTAAGAACAAAAACAGTTTAATATATAACCAGAATAAAATTATTATACTCAAGAAGCTTACTATTATAAGACATTTAGTCCACATTTTCCCCTGAATGTCCCAATAATGCTCTTTTCCATCTTCTTTTTTTGTCTTTTATAACATTAACACTAATAAGTAATTATAGCAAAGTGGCAGTATATAAGTTTATATACAAAAAGTCAACTGCTTTCCTACATATCAGCAATGAAGAAGTAAATTTTTAAAACAAAAAATATAATACCATTTACATTAGTACTCCCAAAATTAAATACCTGGGTAAAAAAATCTAACAAAATATGTACTAGATTTACATGACAGAACTATTTAACTCCAATGAGATAAAAGAAAGCTAGATAAATAGAAGATAAATCACATTGGTAGGAAGACTCAAAACTGTAAAGATGTCAGTTCTTCACAACTTGATAAAGATTTAATGCAATAGCAAACAAATTCAGATTAGAAGTGGATATCAGCAAATTATTTCTAAAGTATACATGGAGAGGCAAAAGAACCTGAAAAACCCAGTATTAAAGAACAAAATTGAAGGATTGATGCCATTCAACTTTGAGATTTACTATAAAGTTACAGCAATCCAAACATTGTAGTAGGGCTGGGGTTGAAACTCAATAGTAGAGCACTTGCCTAGCATATATGAGGTATTGGGTTGATCTTTAACATTGAATAAAAATAAGTAAATAAAATAAAGTTAAAACAACAACAACATTGTTGCAAAAGTGAAAAAATTAGACAAATTGGCCAATAAAACATTAATAGTCTAGAAATCGACCCTCATGGATAGAGCCAACTGATCTTTGAGAAATTGGTAAAACCAACACAATGAAACAACGATATTCCTTTCAACAAACGATGCTGGAATAACTGGATATCTACATGCAAAAGATGAACCAAGACCCAGATATTACATAAAAATTAACTCAAAATCAATCACAGACCTACATGTCAAACACAAAACTATAAAACTCCTAGAAGATAACATAGCAGAAAAAGTCTAGATTGGTTTAGCAATAACTTTTTAGATAAAACAGCAAAGCATGATTCATGAAGGAAAGAATTGAAAAGTTAGACTTCATTAAAATTAAAATATTCTGCTCTGCAAAAGACAACGAGAAGACATGGCAGACTGGGAGAAAATACTTGCAAAAGACACAACTGATAAAAGACCTGTCATCCTGAAACAGTTTTCATGCTGTTTCAACAACATGAAAACAAAAAATCTGGATAAAATATGGGCCAAAAACCTTAACAGATATCTCACCAAAGAATATATACAGATGGCAAATATGCACAGAAAAAAATAGTCCACCTGTTTTAATTGGTACTAATGCAAATTAAATAGTACCAATTAAAACAATGAAATACCACTAAACGTTCTAAGAATGGCCCAAATCAAGAACATTGACAATACCAAATGCTGCCCAGGATGCAGAACAATAGGAATGCTAATTTTTTGCTAATGGGAACAAAAATTGGTATAGACTCCTTGGAAGACAAATTAACAGTTTCCTACAGAACTAAACATACTCTTACCATAGGATCCAGCAATCATGCTCCTTGGTATTTACTCAAAGGAGTTGAAAACATGTCTACACAAAAATATGCACACAAATGTTTACAGTGTCTGTATCCATAATTGCCAAAAACTATAAGCAATTGAGATATACAACAGTAGATGAATGAATAAATAAACTGTAATAAACCCAGACAATGAAATAGTAGTTGGCATCAAGAAAAGATGTGGAGGAAACTTAAATGCATATTATTAAGTGAAAGAAGCCAGTCTACAAAGGTTACATACTGTCTGATTCCAGCTACATGACATTCAGAAAAGGCAAAAGTACAGAGACAGTAAAATAATTAATGGTTTACTGGGTTCAAGGAAGACAAATGAAAAGGCAAAAACAGAGGATTTTTAGGGCAGTGAAAATACTCTGATACTAAAATGGTGAATATATGTCATTAACCATTTGACCAAACCCATAAGGTAAACTGTGGTCTTTAGGTGATACTTACATGTTAATCAATTGTAACAAACAGATTGCTCTGGTGGGATATTGATAATAGTAGAGGTTGTGAAAGGGTGGGGACAGGGGCACTTGTGAAATCTCTGTGTCAATCTCCTTTCAATTTTCTTGTGAAACTAAAAATTCTCTAAGAAATAATATCTTTTTTTTTTTTAAAGGTTAAGTCTCCTGTTTCTGGAGAATCCTTTTACAACATTAAGTTTGAGGTCATAATTTATTACACAGTCATACTAACTAACAGTATTATCTAGCAGAAACTATGAAATCCAACTCTAGGGTACCAAGTTCAGTTCTGTCATAATTTATTCCTAAAGATTCTTAAATCAACATTTAAAATGTGGATTGGGTGGCACCGATGGGAGTTTATCCAAATTTCCATGATATGTAGTTTCCATAATGATTAAGGTAGTTTTTCAAATAAGTAAGAATTTTTTTTTAAAAAAGAATAATACAAAGTATTTATTAAGGAGAAAACATGCCATCATTATCTATATAATCTAAATAAATGTTTAAATAAAATCTGGGTCTCTCTTGGGTCTTCATTTCTAGGATGACATGGAAAAGAAGGAACAACACTCATGCCAAAGGACTGTGGCCATGTGCAGTTTTTTGCTGCACAAATGGCAATCACTGGGAGCATGCCCAAGGATAAAACCACTAAGTCCATTTGTGTGATACACAGTAGAGGTTATAGCCATCAAGGATATTTCCATGGTGACTGTCTATGACATTGAGGAGCTTCCCAAGCTGTGACACTACAGTCATATGTTGCTTAATGAAGAGAATATGTTCTGAGAAACCTATCATGAGGTAATCTGTCCAGTCTGTGAATATCATCAAGTATACATACACAAAGTAAGATGGCAAAGATGTCATGGACAATATAATTTTACAGGATCATCTGTTTGGTAGCTGGCTGACTGAAAGGTTATTATGTATGTGGCCAATGACTGTACATTATTGTATCACTTGTGCCATTCACAGCAAGGTAATAAGGAAATCAGTCCTGTGAAGCCAAACAACCCAGCCCAACTAAGACCACAGATGCTGCCCCATGACCCTCCTAGAGCAGTGTAAAGAATGGAGTCCTTAAGGACCGAAGGAAAGCTATCTTCTGGGGGGGAGGGGGGGGGAGAGGGAAGAAAGGAAAATTAGACTTTAAAAACAAACCAAAAACCAAGAGCCACAAAAGATTAAAAAAGAAAGAGGAATTTTAGTTTGAAAATATGCTTTTATTAGTTATTCAAGGAAGAGAGGAAAGATGAAAATAAAGGAAAGATGGAGACAAAAGAATAAGAAAATATAAGGTAAAACAGGAACAGAAAGGCTGAAGAAGACATGAGGCTGAAGAAGAAGCAGATGCTAGGAGAAAGAGAGAAAAAGAGATCAAAATGAACAAAGATCATTGTACTGTCATGTGTAACTAATAAAAAAAATGAACAAAGAGTAATAAAAAAGGGAGAGATGACAGGGGTAGAGAGCTGAACACAGAGTATCACACCGAGGTGCTTAGAAATGCACTCTGAATAAAGAAGTATGCATTGAAGGAGTGATGTTACTGAACAAGAGAGAGACAGAGATGAGACCAAAGGTGTTACACTGAGATCTTCTAGGACATCAGTGAAAAACATTTCACAGGGTAGGCACTGTCTTTTTGTCTTTCCTCAAAGAAATGGCTTAGGTGAGTGATCCCTACTCTTGATTTAGTTTGCCAACAATAATAAGATAGAGTTATGGGGCTGGAGTTGTGGCTCAGCTGTAGAGTGGTCATCTAGCACGTGCGAGGCACTGGGTTCGATCCTCAGCACCACATAAAAATAAATAAATAAAAGTATTGATCCAGGGGTAAAATGGGAGTTCATAACCCACTTGAATCAAAATGTGAAATATGATATATCAAGAACTATGTAATGTTTTGAACAACCAACAATAAAAAAAAAGAAAGTGGTAAAAATAAAAAAAATAATAATAATTTCTGTGATTTGTCAGGTAAATATCCAGATTCAGAGGTATAAGGTGGTTAATAAAGTCAAGCAATTGCTAAGTTGAAGAGAAAAGTAATGCCAAGTTTGCCTATTACATTATTTTGTTTATGTGTTTGTTTGTATATTATTATCTCTTATCTTATCAAACTGATTCCCAACAATTTAATATTCTGCTGCTGTGTTTTGTGATTTAAAAAAATACATAGAAAAGACAATAAAAATATTACAATTACTAAAAAAAAAGTATTGATCCAGCTGCAACTAATACACACACACACACACACACACACACACACACACACACATATAGATATAGATATAGATATAGATAGATAGATACAGTTTATGGGTGGGAATCTTGCCAGAGAGGCCTTTCTCCTAGAACCAGGTGTAGCAAAAGGAAGAAAGACTTATCAAAACTATGAAATTTACTTAGGGCCAGTCTAAGTACAGAGTAAAGCATTCAAATGATCAGTCACAGGGATAGATAAATTATAAAATGGTAATTTTGTGTATTTGGAGATGGAGGTCAAGAAAATAATATTGTATAGTATGTAGCATCCATATAAAAAAGGGTATGCATGAAGGATGACTATAGACAATAATAACCTATTATATATTTCAAAATAACTAAGATTTTAAAACTAATAACTAATTTCAAATATCTCACCACAAAAAATTAGGTAATGAATATGTTAATTAGCTTGACTTAATTATTCCACATTGTTTATATATCAAAATATATTATAATGTATCCCATAAATGTACACTATTATAACTTATCAAGTAAAAACAATATTAACAAAAAATTAATTTAAAAAAGTATGTAGGATACTTACATCTCTAATAAAATACTCAAGGGTGGCATAAGCGATGGCAATTCCATCATGGGTGCTCGTCCCTCTTCCCAATTCATCCAAGATAACCAAGGACTGTGATGTTGCTTTTCTGATTATTTCTGCTGTGTCTGTCAGTTCCTCCATAAATGTACTCCGTCCTTTATATATATTGTCTGCAGCACCCATCCTATAAGTAAGATGAAAACACTTTGACTTTCCTTGGAACTTTCTTATTATAAAGCCAAAATTTATTTTATGAACAATAAATATAAAAGCTCTCTAGGGACCTATTAAAGATATTTGAGCCAACAATAGCTAAAATTATATTAAACAAAAGAAATCCTATGTTGGATGCAAAGAGCACCTAAAAACAAATTGCACCTTGTAAAAACATTCTGGAAGGAATGAGATATTGAAAAGAACTCCTGAAAAGTAGGAAAACTCCTGACCCTGCTTTCTTTCTACCAATTATTCCAAAGCAAAGTCTTTTTTTTTTTATTGATTGTTCCAAACATTACAGAGCTCTTGATAAATCATCTTTCATACATTTGACTCCATTGGGTTTTGAACTCCCATTTCTACCCCAAATACAGATTGCAGAATCACATCTGTTACATACTCACATTTTTACCTAATGGCATATTAGTGACTGTTGTAATCTGCTATCTTTCCTATCCCCCACTATTCCCCCCTCCCCTCCCCTCCCACCTTCCCTCTCTGCCTCCTCTGCAAAGCAAAGTCTTAATATTCATTGTTGTCACACTTAAAAATCCATGAGTAGTAGGATCCTGTACAATTAAGGTGGGGGGTTTGAGTGGGGTTGTTTTGAAGAAAATTCCACATTGTTATTGCAAATTAAAGTACCATGGACAAAATAACCTATTACATATAATAAAACTTTTTACTAGAACTAGAATTATAGATGCTTAGTAACCTTGGACAGCAGCTCAGAGAGGTTCCCAATGTGAACACAGTTCCTATAGAAGTCAAGAAACGGGTCTAAAAGACTTAAGGGTTTCTTTCCAGTAAGACTTTTTAGAACATTTAATATTCAACTACACATTGTATTTCTTAAAGATGGGTCTAGTTCATAGCATTTCTTTAACTCATTTAACTATGGACCCCTAAAATTTCTTCTAGAGCACCAGAAGCAATAATGTTTTACAGACACTTTTGGGAGAACACACATTAAGTGCAAAAAGAATCTGAAAAGAAGAATAAAGAATAATTACATAATACCATTTAAGGTCATTATTTAATTGCAAAATCTAAAATTCAAGTCTTTAACCTGCTAGCTAGCTTTGTGTCAATCCTGGGAACTATTTTCTCTGCAAAATCTCCTCATCAATTTTGTATTGCTTCAACAGTTCACAAAGTAAGTAGAGCTCATACTTCACACATGACCTATAGCACCATAATATACCTTTCATTTCTGGATCAACTCATAGTGAAAGTGAGCCTTCATCAGATGTGTGGCCTCAGCCCTACAATAGCAGAGGAGACAAAGTGTCCCCAGATGGGAGGGGACCTTAGAACTGCTCTGGTGATTACTTTTGAAACTCTAACTGTATCTATGATGGAATTAATAAGAAATGTTTACTCACTGACAATGTCATCCATTTTAAAATCAATAAATATAAAACAATTTCTGAAATGCTAAGTTAAGAACATTCTAAATATTTGTTCAAAGTTCAAATACTGCCTCAACTTTCAGTGTTTACTAATGTCTCATTCCTGCCATAAAACAAGTAAGTTAAAATTTCTTTTCTCTGAAACAACTCTATATTATTCTTCAGAATCACATTTGATCTCTATTTGCCACTGTTTGCTTTTATTCCGGCTAGGTTGTGAGCTGACCAAAAAAAAAAAAAAAAAAAATCTTTAATCAACAATAAAATGCTATGATGAGGGAAATATTCTGAGTTTTCAATTCCCAGGAATTAGGAAAAAATGTATGAACTGGATAAGATTTTAATACAGGTGGTGCACACCTGTGGATTACAGTGTGTAATCCCAGCGGCTTGAGGTTTAGGCAAGAGGTTCATGAGTTCAAAGCTAGCCTCAGCAACTTAGCAAGGCCCTAAGCAACTCAGTGAGACCCTGTCTCTAAATAAAATACAAAAAAGGGCTGGGGATGTGGCTCAGTGGCTAAGTGCCCCTGAGTTCAATCACTGGTCCCTCTCACCCTCCAAAAAAAAGAAGATTTTAATACAGAAGTTTAAGTCTTCTTAAGTGTTTTGTAAAAACAGTAAAGTAATAGAGTGGTTTACTTAAAAATTTCAGGAATTATATGTTATTCTGGGGAAGTTATTCTTAGGCAGATATACACATATACATATAAAATGTTTGGTATATTAAAGTTTTCAAATTAAAGAGGAAAAAATGAATGATTAATCAATAAAAATTATACTAGGTGATTTGTTATTTCAGAAAAAATATGTCCTTATTTGAACTATATTCTAAAATAAGGTATATAGATTTAAAAATTTAATGGAAAAATAGAAATTACAAATATACCAAGCTAACTAGATGAAATTTAATCTTTGGATAGGTGAATAGGTGGCTTTATATACATGGTACCAAACCAAGTGTTTAGCAAAAAACACATAATGCAAAAGTTAAAGGTAAATCAATACCTTCAATGAACATAGATGCCAAAAATCTTATTAAAATAATGGCAGTCAGGCACAATGGCATTCCAATGTAATTCCAGCGACTCAGGAGGCTGAGACAGGAGGACTGCAAATTCCAAGCCAGCCTTAGCAATTTAGACCCTAAGAAACTAAGTGAAACCCTGACTCAAAATAAAAAAATAAAAAGGGCTGGGAATGTGGCTCAGTGATAAAGTGCCTCTGAGTTCAATTCCCAATGCTCTCCCACACACCAAAAAAAAAAAAAAAAATATATATATATATATATATACACACACACACACACACACATATATACACCAAAAAATATATATATATACCACATACAAAAACATACTACCATCATCAAGTGGGTTTCATCTCGGGATACAAGGTTGGTTCAACACGAAAATCAATAAATGCAATTCATGACATAAATAGACTTAAGGACAAGAATCACATAGATTATCTTAATAGAAAACATTGGACAAAGTCCAGCACCTGTTCATGTTTAAAACACCAGAGAAATTAGGAATGGAAGAAACTTATCTCAACATTGTAAAGGCTATATATGACAAATCCAAGGCCAATATCATACTGAATGGGAAAAAACTGAAAATATTTTTTCTAAAAACAGGAACAAGACAATGATGACAACTTTCACCACTCCTATTCAACATAATCCCTAAGACTCTAGCCAAAGCAATCAGGCAAGAGAAAGAAATTAAAGGGATAGGAAAAAGAAAAGAAGAGGTCAAATATATCTGTTTCCTAATGGCATGATATTATGTTTAAGAGACCCCAAAAACTCCACCAGAAGATTTCTAGAGCTGATAAACCTAGTAAAGTAGCAGGATACAAGAACTGATGCATAAATCAATTGCTTTCCTATACTCCAATAACAAATTTGAACAAGAAATTAGAAAAATTATCCCATTCACAATAACCTAAAAAATAAAATAAAACACTTAGGAACTAACCTAACAAAGGAGGTGAAAGAACTCCATAAGGTAAACTACAGAACAATGAAGAAAGAAATTGAAGAGGACTTTAGAAGATGGAAAGATCTCCTATGTTCTTAAATAGGCAGAATTAATATTGTCTAAATGGCCATACTACCAAAAGCATTATACAGATTTAATGCAATCCCTATAAAAATACCAATGATATTCTTCATATAACTGTAAAAAGTAGTTATAAATTCATTTGGAAAAATAAAAAAACTAGAATAGCCAAAACAACCCTGACCTAAAAGAGAGATGCTGGAGGTATCACAATACCAGATCTCAAATTATACTACAGCGTTACAGTAACAAAAATATCATGGTTGCTACACAATCAGACATGAAAACCAATGGAATAGAAGACACAAAGACCAACTCACATAAATAGTTAATAGACAAATATGCCAAAAACATATGTTGGAGAAAAGAGCCTTTCTAACAAATGATGCTGGGGAAACTGGATATTCATATGTAGAAGAATGAAACTTGACCCCTCTCTGTCACCCTGCACAAAAGTCAACTCATAGTGGACCAAAGACCTAAAGATTAGAACAGAACCCCTGCACCAGCTACAAGAAAATGTAGGCCCAACACTTTACCATGTTAACACAGGAACCAACTTCCTTAACAAGACTCATGTGCAAGAAACAAAATAAAAAAATCAACAAGTGGGTGGCATCAATTTAAAAAGCTCTTGCACAGTAAAGGAAACCAGAGTGTGAAGAAAGCCTACAGAATGGGAGATCTTTGCAATCTGTTCCTAAGATAGGACATTAATATCCAGAATATACAAAGAACTCAAGAAAATTGCTGATATGATTTATTGTAGGAACTCAAATCATATAATATTCGAATAGCACACAGATTTATACAAATTTTAACCTATAAAATAATACTCAATTATCTAGTATATGTATATGCTAATTAATAAATATAACACATAATCCCATTTAGCATAGTTACATAAGTTTATATAATATTAATGCATAAACATGAATGGAAATGCATTGTCATATAATCATATGTGCAATATATATGATTATTATAAATATGTATGATCATAAATATACCTGTATACCAAAACTTCTTGCATATCAATAAATAAATGGGCAAAAGAACTAAAGAGACACTTCTCAAAAGAAAAAATACAAATGGTCAACAATTATATAAAAAAAGTTCCACATCTCTAACAATTAGGGAAATGCAAATTAAAACTGTATAGAAATTTTATCTCACTCCAGTCAGAATAATTATTAAGAATACAAATAACAATAAGTGTTGGCAAGGATGTGGGGAAAAGGGTACACTCAAACATTGTTGGTGAGATTAAAAATTAGTGAAACCATTCTGGAAAGCAGTAACTTTTTGATTTCCTCAAAAAAATAGAAATGGAACCACAATGTGACCCAGCCATACCATTCCTCAGTAATATTTAAAAGAACTAAATCAGCAAAACTATAGTATTGCAGCCACATCAATGTTTATAGCACCACAATTCAAAATAGTCAATTATAGAACCAACCTAGGTGCCCTGCAACAGGTGAATGGATCAA